TCCGATCCCAAGGTAATTGTGTAGATTTCAAACCGACAGAACAAATGATATACGGACGAAAATAATAAATATACATTGAACAAAGACGAAGAAGTTTTGAATACGATAAGAAATTTGTATGATGACTGTGAAAAGTATAATGTTTTTTAATTTTTTAGTTTTTATTCCAAAAGACAGCACTCTAGATCCCAAAACACGGCAACTTAAAATTTCGAAATGGCAACCCTGTTTCAGTCACTTGCCAGTGCTCGCTAGGCGCTTGTAGAGTTGTCACGAGTTGTGTTGACTTAAAAAAAATCTCTTGACAAAAATATGCCGCCGTGCCTACTTAGATATTGCACAAATAATTTAAGAAATGTCAGTAAAAACCAAGGAATTACTATCATCGGTTAATAAGATACTAAATCAACAAAAAAATCTATAATACGATTCATAATAAAACAAATTATTCCTAAGACGCCATCTCGTGTCATGGAATGATTATGAAATTAATTTGTTCACATGCGACATTTCTGTGGGATTTTTAGGATAGGACGAATAAATTATTATACACATTTTTTGTAGAAACATATATAAAAGTAAAAGTAAAGTAAAGTTACAGCCTATATACGTCCTACTGCTTGGCACAAGCCTCCGCTCATTTCTGAGAGGGTTTTAGGGCAAGGAATTGTCCGCCGCGCTGCCCCAATGCGTGTTGGCGAACTTCACATGTCTTCGAAATATTTTTTCCTTGTTTCTCTGACATGCAGGTTTCCTCACGATGTTTTCCTTCACCGCCGAGCACGTGGTAAATCAGCACTTAAAATTACAATTAACAATTTCATTGGTGCCGGCGGGGATCGAACCCGGTTTGCTCGCGTACTGCGAAATTTACAGCGAGCGCTAACCATCTGAGGTACCACGGTAAACATATAAAAGTTATCATAATTAGGCAAAATTTTTTAAATTTAAATCTGCTCATTATTCTTTTATTTTATTTTTAGGTTTCCACATCAAAATTAAAGTGGTATAAATTCGTCCATTTTTAACTCTAATTTAAATAAATATATTTGTAATTTAAATGTTATATTAATAAGTTGTGTTAAACATACATTTAGTATGTTTTTTATATTTAACATAGATTGCCTTTTAAAATATTTGGATAAAAATATCATTAAAATGTAATTGTAGTATAATATAATGTAATATTATATTAAATAAGCAAATATAATTTACAAAATAAATGACAAAATTTAAAAATTGTTCTCGATATACATTCTAATCATTCTACCCATGGAGGATAAAGAACAGGAGCACGATTGCTACGCACTAAAGCATATCCCGCCTGTCCTTGAAAATTTGTAGAATTTATAGCGGTGTTGCCGTCGGTGAGTAGTGGCTGCGATATTAGCTGTTTATGAGTACAGGTAGATGAAGTTAGTTGAATAATGTACAAATTTTCTTCGCGGCATTGATGAGAAAATTTTCATGCTCCGTAATCTTTTAATTTTTGACAAAAAGAAACATTAAGAAATGGGGAAATATTTTATTGTGCGTGAATGTGCAAGTGGTTAAGCATCTGATCGGAAAAATAGACTGAAAATTACTTTTATTGAGCGAACTTAGCGATCCCAGCGCCTCACTTATGGTGTCCATATTTCTGGGACACTATTTTCTACGGCGATCGTTCTCCTGTTCTCTAACCTTCATGATTATACCTATGTTTATTCTATGATCAAAATACACTAACGGATAGGATTTTATTTATTTGTTTAATACAGCAACGGCTTAACATGTAGTGTTGCATTATAGGATAGGATTAATTTACTTTAGTACTTGCAACACTGATGCCATCCGTCAAGTATCAAAAAACAATCAGTGACAATAAGTGTCAAAGTCAAATTTGTTTCATGTTTATTAGTTTTCCTTCGTATTTGTGTATTCATCGTATTTTACTTTTTTTAATAACACGGAGTACTTTGTTATATATTTAATAAGTTTCGTAGGTCGTAGCTCCACGCGAGTGCTTCATTAATTATAAACGGTGTAATACATAAGTTTAATAAGGAAAATGGTCCTATTACAAGTGTGTGCTTACTATGGTATCGCTGTTAGAGATGGCATCAGGCGGCATGTATTATCATCATTACCTCCTGCTATGACTGTTCTTTTATCGGAGTAGTTAACTTTTGAGGTAAGCTCTAGTTTCGCTAAGTAAAATATTTATAGATTATTACGTATTTATCTACAACAATTTACGAGAAGAATCAAATTGGGTATTATTTACCCTATAATCTTGATTCGACGGCTTAGAATCTTAGATTAATGAGTACCTAATTTTCCTTCACAGTTGTCACCAAAGCTGCATCTGTGGTGCCTGCTATGACACGATAACGAGATGCCTTGCAACAAATTCAAGGGAAAGACAACTTGGTCACAATAATGTTTTCTATGACTGTGGTAGATCTGTTGCACGTGCAAGAAAACACAGCATTCCAGAATTTACATAGTTCTCTCTCCTCAGTTGTGTCATCATTGCATCACCATGTGAGTAATTATTTTCATTATTCATTAAAATTTACTTGGCAAATAAGACTCAATAATTATACAATCACTGTGGCCCATACGTGGTATTGTCTATCGTGGTATCACTAAATTCTAATATGTATAATGAGCACCATTATGTACTGTTAACCCAGATACTGCGACGCGGCTTTTAAAAGACCCAAAAAAATTATTAAAAATAAAAGTTTCGAGTTGTTAAAATGAATTCTCTAAGATATTTGCACTGTCAGGTTACTTAGTACCTATCCATGTATGATTTCATGTGGTGTTGTTTACAACTAGACACTTGTTTATTTAAAGTTTTTGTGTCATTGAAGACTTAGGAGTATTAGTGTCATGATGTCTGGACAAAGGTAAGCTTTTATCATTTATATATCTGGATGTTGTTGCTAATACATTTTGATATTTAATTTTAGATATATTATCTACAATATCAGGTTATCTATTTGTTTTGATGCAACAAAAACTCCCGTCACAATATGGGGGTCTATAATATTATTGTTTTCTTTTTAGCACTCGACCTTTGAGAGCACTCAATCTCAACGATATAGTTGATGAATTAGAGCGATGTGAGGATGATGATTTGTTGCCAACTCAAATTACAATTTTTCCACCTAATGCCGAATGCTAATGCCGATGTCACAGATGAGGATTCTGGAGTTGAAGAATTTGTTGCATTTCAAAATCTACCAGGTAAAATATTTGTTTTCGGGTTGATATAACTACGTATCAATGATTCTATCTTGTTTTATTTATATAGTTGCAATATTTATATCTGTTTTTTATAGGCTCTCAACTACGAGCTCCAGCTGAGGTCACTTTTCATATGAGTTTCGACGAAGAAGATGATGTACCTTTGTCAAGTTTGTCAAAAAGAAGACGCACGATGGATTTGACTTTAGAAGATAGTGACGCCGTACCTTCTTGTACTTCAGATGTGTCAACTAATTCTACATTTGTTCAGCCTACAGTTCCCCGAAACCAAACCTATAGATGGAAGAATCGTCATATTCCAAACCATTTCAATCAATGGAATGACGAACAAGGTCCAAAAAACTTACAATCACCCTTATATTATTTCGACTGCTTGTTCAACAACAATGTTTTTTTTAAATCTTTAAATCTTTATTAACATAAAATACACAGATTTAAAATAATAATAAACATCGCCAAACTGTGCAACAGTTTGTTGGCGATAATGGCGCTCTTTTGTTATACATTAATATGTATTTTTTGTTACATACATACTTATCTTAGGTATATTTATTACAATAAATATCTCTATCTTTAATTAATACTTATTAATACTTATTATATTACATTATACTTTTCATAGGAATGTATTTTTCAGTCTTTTCTTTAATGTTACAGTGCTTATGTCTTTGGACGTATCTCTTATAAAATCTATTCTATTAAATATTAGCGGAGTTAAATATTGCCTAGTTCTCTTACCATAATAGTTTCTTATATGTGGTATCACATATTTACCCTTATCAACTTGCCTGGTGCGATATTTATGCATTATAGGTTGTTTAAATTTATTTATTTTATATTGTTCTAAAGCAATTAGGTAATCTACCTTTTCATGCACTGGAAGTATTTTACATATATTAAATAATTTGTCATAGTTTTTTTTACACTGTAATTTTACTTTTTTACTTACTAAATACTTAAGTAGTCTAATCTGTAAATGTTTTATACAATCTAACTGTGTTTTGAATGTCAGCCCATAACTGCTCAATCCATAACTGATTACCGAGTCAGCCAGTGCATAATACAGTACGTACAAGACTTTTCGATTCATGAAATTGCTTAAGTGAAAGAATCTACCCAGTATTGATTGCAATTTATTACACACACCATTGACGTGCAGTTTCCAGTTCATATTACTATCTACTGTTAGGAAATGGTGCTATATCTAAATATAAATCATAAATATATAAAAAAATCATAAATATATAAATCTACTACATCTATGTTTGTGCACTGGCAGCCAGCTTTATTGAGGTGTAGACACTCATATGTATGACCAATTATATTTATGTTTAATTTACCTTGCTTAAAGACGTTACTGTGGGGTGAACTTATATACATAGCCTTTGTTTTGGATAAATTGTATAAATTTTGGATAAATTACTAGTGCAATATACTAGTGCGATATACCAATTTGTATGCAGGACAGAGGAATAAAGTGGGCAAAGTAACTGTTTCTGAAATGAAGTGTTTCTTGGGCATCCTTATGTACAGCGGGTATGTAGTAGTACCCCGTAGGTTTATGTATTGGGAGACATCGACAGATGCCGACTTTAGGATTGTGCACAACGCTGTCAAGAGATCGTTTTACTTTTATTATGACAAATCTCCACTGCTGTGATAATACAGTTCTTGGTGATTCTCCTGACAAATTCGCTAAGTTGAGACCTCTGTTTGACGAGTTAAATAAAATCTTTACTGAAATGACTCCGCTAGAAGAGAACTACAGCATAGATGAGGCTATGGTTCCATACTATGGACGTCACAGTTGCAAACATGTTTCGATCGATTTGAATTGGTTTGATCCTTACCAGGGAAAATCTTCAACCATTGCAGAAGGTTACAAACGGTTTGGTCTAGGTGGGAGTGTGATTTTGGAGTTTGCTGATGTTCTACAAGGTCGTGATCCAACATTGCCAGTTCATTTATTCTTCGACAATTATTTTTCCTCTATTCCTCTACTGCATGAACTTAGTAATAGAAGTCTGAGAGCCACTGGAACAATTCGTGAAAACAGAACTTCCAAGTGTCCTCTTGAGTCTAACAAAGATTTCAAAAATACTGATAGAGGTTCATTTGTATTCAAATCCAGTTTGCCTACCAATATTTTGGTTTGCAAGTGGAATGACAATATTGTCGTTACTGTTGCCTCGAATACTGAAACTGTGGAGCCCCTGCAAAAAGTCAAGAGATTTTCGCAAGAACTAAAAAGATTTGTACATATTGACCAACCGTCTGTTATAAGAAAATACAATGAAAATATGGGAGGGGTATCGGACTTCTATTCGTGGCAAGAAATGTTATTTTTCACTGTTTTGTCACACCTTAGATATGGCTGTGTGTAATGCATGGCAACTTTACAAGCGAGACGGTGGAGAACATGATCATCTCACTTTTCGTAGACTACTGGCGAAAGGTTTGCTCAAAAGCTACAAAAAAAGCGATAAGAGAGGACCATGTCCCACATGTAGATCTCATCTTGAATCATCTCGATATGATGGGGTTGATCACTTGGTCCAGTACAGCGCTCCTTAACTAAGATGCAAAGTTTGCAAAGTTAAAAGTTTTTTTTTTTTTGCCAAAAGTGTAAGATTCATTTACATCCTAAGAACTGTTTCCTTGAATATCACACTAAAACTCAGTAAAGTTAGTGAACTTTACTGACTTTTAGTGTGATATACTTAGTGAAGTGCTGTTGTTTTATTGTGGGACATCATATCACATAACTTGCTATACCTATGTCTATTTTCTTTTGTATAGTTAAAATTTACCGTAATAATAAAAAACTAATATAATAACAGTTTGTTTTATTATTAGACCGCCACATACATGTAAACAATCCCCATATTACAATGGGAATTTTATAAGCCCACCCTTTTCCGGCTTTTCTGAAAACATGTAATTTTTTTACTATTTTTCCTGGTTATTATGAGTCATTTTAACTATCATATCCGAATATCACCAAGATCGAAAACAAAAAATAGTTACAGTAACATCTGGGTTAACAAAAACTAACTTCTCAATCTAATCAATCTGCAATAAAGCTGTTAACTTTCTAAAATACATATATCATAACATTCATCTTTATTTTGTGTTTTCAACAGCTTGTCTCATAAATGAAAGTGAACAGTGTGGTAAAGTCTTTTTATTTTTTCAGGTTATAGCGGCAAATTTTTTGTGTCATGGTTGTTAATTGAGAGCTAACAGAGAAGTCGCCTGAAGAAATATTGTTGAGTCTCACAGATTTGAAAACATGGAAGGAAACCAAGCTGTTCAAGAAATTCAGATGCTAAATCTCCTACCTATCCCCCTGGACCAGCAGTAACATTCAAGATGTATCAACAACTGTCCTGCTGAATTATAGATGTTGTGCTAATACATCTGGAATGATGGAATATTTGATGGCTGTCAGTGTAGTGTAGATCATATAGTGCCTGCCTTGTTTAAATCAGCATTGTTCTTGAATAGTAACCTTTATGTGTCTCAAAGTGTTAGGGTTAGTGAAGAACATTAACATTCCAATGAATGGGAATTATTATTAAAGAACACACGTTTAACTAATACTTTCACGGCAAATTAAATTCAAAGGTAGTTAGATAACAAAAGTGAGGAAAATGTTATTGATTTTGAAAATTTGGAGTCAATGCCTAGTCATGTATTTCATTATTAGACAGGGTGCACTACCCAGGAATTCATAGAATTGCATAATAGCATACCAATACAGTCTGTTGTTCCCAAAAGCTTAATAACTGCATTAGAAATGCTTGTAATGAAATATAGGAGTAGTGATAGCGATACTAGGATATCTAGTCTTTTTAGGATTTCTATATCAACTACAGAACAAGATGAAGCTTGTGAGGAACTGTCTGAATAATCACTTTGTTCCACTACATCTTAGAGCGTCCCACATATCTCACCAAGAATTGGCAGAAAAAAAACACCACTATACAGTGTGTCTGGTCACGACCTGGCGATAATTTAAGGTTAAAAATATACCTAATTTCATCAACGAAAACACCCATATATGGGGGTCTACCCCCCCCCCCTTCCATCTGCCAAAAGATGCAGATTTCTCTGGACAGAAACGTCCTACAGATGTAAAAAATAAATGTTATTTAAAAGGTAAAAATAGCATCTATCAAATAAAAATAAACATCATGGAAAGTTTTCCCTACAAAATATCTTAAAACATTTACAATGCTAATTTAAGTAAAAAAAATTGACTATTTTTTTTTATTTTTCTTGACATACATACTTCAAAAACTAGCACATTTATACAAAATTTTTTAATACTGTCCTAATACTTAAGGATATTACTTACAAATTGACAATAAAATTATGGTTCTTAATTGCATAACTCGAGAGTTATGCAATTAAGAACAATAATTTTATATATAATAGAGTAACTGTCCAGAGAAATCTGCCTCCTACTTAAAATATCGTACCTTTCGTTTTAGACACGAAGGCACGCTTTCTTCACAGCGAACTATCAAGGCTGGTGTCCCTCAGGGCTCAGTACTTGCTCCTCTGCTGTACATCCTGTTCACCAACGACAATCCCATCCCGTTGAAAGGTGTTCAACTCTCCCTCTTCGCAGACGACACTGCCATCTAGTGCAAAGGTGTCTCACTACCCTTCATACGGAACAAGATCCAAAAGTCAGTTGATGACCTAGGAGCTTGGTTCAAAAAATGGCGCATCGATGTGAACCCGGAGAAGAGCTCCGCCGTTCACTTCGATTATAAACGACGCCGTCTCAAAAACACTCCACCAATACGTATGCTAGGGACCCCTGTCCCCTGGCATACGTCCGTCAAATATTTAGGTGTCACTCTAGACACAGGGCTCACTTTCAGGCCCCACGTCAAAAGAGTAACCCGTCACGCACGGTTTTATCTGAGTAGGCTCAACAGTATGTTGGGCCGACACAGTAAAATGTCCCTTCGAAACAAGCGTACCCTTTACAAGGTCTGTATACGACCAGTCATGTCCTACGCGGGCCCCGTCTTTGCCCACGCAAACCCTAATATTATAAATGAACTCCAAATAGTTCAGAACCTCTTCTGTCGTCGAGCTGCGAACGCACCTTGGTACGTCCGTAATGCCGACCTTCATCGGGACTTAGAGCTCCCAACAATTCAACAATTTCTTAAAAAAACTCTCTGAGAACTTCTTCAAAGCCTCAGAGTCGCACCCAAACCAATTAATTCGTGAGGCAGCTTCTTATGCAGCCCCACCCCCCCCTCTCGCTATCGTGTCCGCAGGCCGAGAAACTCTCTCTCGGACCCGCCCAATAAACTGTCAAACGACCTGAACTGTCCTGGCGGCTCAGGCCAACTCTAATTAAATTAAATTATTGTAATAACTAACATTAATTTGCCTTCGTAGGCACTCCCTCAGCGGCTCTTAGCCGCCTGCGCCCTCTTTTCCCAAAAGAGTGGTCGCTCATGATAAGGCACAATACAGCTTAAGCAGCCGGCTGCCTGTCCCCAAAGGCGGTTTTTAGAGGGTATCACTTAGGGTCCCCGGTAGGACAGTGAGCCCCTCATAACCACGATAGACCGGCTATCGTGGTATGCGTAATGCATTTTCCGCCTCCCTACGTATAGGGTAGCCCTTTAATTGCTTCGGGCGCAAAAAAAAAAAAGAAATCTGCATCTTTTGGCAGAGGTATCTACAAGAATAAAAAAAATTAAATAGTGGCCATTCCGATAGGAGGGGGGGGGGGGGGGGGTTAGACCTCCATAAATGGTGTTTTTGTTGATGAAATTAGGTATGTTTTGTAACCTTAAATTATCACTAGGTCGTGACCAGACACACTGTATATGAGTAACTATTTGGAAATCCTCAGCCTGATTACTCTAACAGGTGGGCTATTGTACAATGCGATCATCCATGTGCAAACCTCCATGTGCAAAAGAATTCGAATTGTAAATACAAAAAAAGACATACCAGTCTTCACTTAACAAAACCACTTTTAGTAGTATGTTGCGATGGATATATTATAGATGTGTTTGCACCTTTTGTTGCAATGCAAACAGATGCAGAAATAGTGAATTATTAAGTTTCTTGTGATGGAGGCTTGTTTTAATACTTTTATCAAATATTTGAATTCATTTTATACCGTAGCTTTAGATATTCTATTTCCAATTTAGATGCAATCTTAGGTTATTTGTGTCATTGTGTAGCTGGAAACTGGACTGTTGGATGTTGTGCATATATAATGACTATTCTGTGGTACTTGGGATGGGCGAGATAGCAAGAAAATATTATTCCACCAACTGCATTTCTTGATAATGTACTAATAACATTTAACATTTATGATAAAATACATAAAATAATGCAAGTTGTTTTATTTTCTGTCTAATATACTTTGATCAAGAATAGTACTAAAATTACAATACTACTTATGTTACAAAAAATAGTTAGGGTAAACTGCCCTAATCTTGACACTCCGCCAATTATTGACACTTCTACAGATAAATTAAAATTATAAGATTCACATTCAATATAGGAGCAAAGGTGTTTAAAGTAAACGCATCTGTATTTATATTTTTTGTTATGGCAATACAGTTTGAGTTCTTTGACAAGCATGGCTGAACAAAACTAGTCGATTTACCAAACGTCTCCGTGTTCATAAGAAAAAATCGCCATTTTGTTAGAAAATCAGAAGGGTAAGTGCATACAAAATAGTATAATTTTTCGTCTTTGATATTTACATATATATTGATGTTTATATTTTGTGAATTGATGAAAAATCGATTTATATTTCTATAACCTCACTTTTTCGGTATTTCAAAAATTGTGAAATTAAAATAGGGGTGGCAATAATTGATAGCTAATAGACCACACTACCTATTATTGACACAGTATGTCAATGTTTGGATTCATATTATTATTTATTTAATAGGAATTTTATACAAAAAATACTTGTTTTAACGACAGGGATTATTTTGAATGTAAATTAAAAAACGTCTGGCTTAGCTTTTCAATTTATTGACACAGTGTCAATAGCTTAATATCGTATTATCGACACCATGTCAATAATAGGAAATAAATATGTCAATAATAAGTTTTTTGTTACAATTTATAACTATTAATTTCAATCAAGCATTTTAACAATAACTAAAAGATATTTAAGGTTAGGTATTAGCTTAAAAATAATAAAAATAATATTAATTATCATTCCGTAATTTACAGTATGGCCAACTACAAAATAAATCCTGGTTTAGAAAAACGCAAAAGTTCTCTAAATAAGATTAATAAAAAAGAAAATATCTCCAAAGAAAAGAAAGCAGTACTCTTCAGAAAATATAAAATTAGCATTAGAAGCGATAAATAAAGGGATGTCCAAGAAATTGGCTTCAAAAACTTATGGTGTCCCTAGGACTACACTTATTTTTCATACCAACCATCCAGACAATAATGAGAGACCAGGACCACCTACTGTCCTGACAGCAAAAGAGGAAGAAGATTTAGTAAATTGGATCAAAGTTAATAGCAGAAAAGGCTTTCCAAGACGAAAAGAGGACCTGATTACAAGTGTAGCTGAATTCTTAAAAAAGGCCAATAGACCGAATCCATTTAAGAATGGCGTTCCAGGGGAAAAGATGGTATAATCTTTTCATGAAAAGACATAAGGATTTGGCTATTAGAACCCCAGAAAGTGTCACTGGTGCAAGTTCTTGCGTATCTGAAGAAGATATAAGACGCTGGTTTCGTGATATATATTCTTATTTAAAAATGAATAATTATACGGACATTCTCCAGGACCCATCGCGCATTTTAAATGGTGACGAGACAAACTTCCAACTGTGCCCAAAAAGTGGGAGAGTTCTTTCCATAAAAGGTCATAAAAATGTCTATGAAGTTGATAGAGGTCAAGCCAAGGCATCCTTGACTGTTTTATTTACCTTTAAAGCAAATGGAGAACGAACACCACCATTAGTAATTTATCCAAATAAAAGACTACCTAAAGAAATTGCTACAAAAGTGCCTAAAGATTGGGGTATTGGCCTCAGTGATAACGGTTGGATGAAAACAGATATTTTTGTTGATTATATTAGGAATGTTTTACATCCATACCTTACGCGAACAGCAACAAAATTTCCTGTCATTCTGTTTGTTGACGGACATAAAACACACGTAACACTAAGTGTCAGTGAACTTTGTACAGAATTACAAATCATACTTATCGCTCTTTATCCAAATGCCACAAGAATATTGCAGCCCGCGGATGTATCCGCTTTTAAACCTCTAAAAAATGGTTGGAAAAAAAGTGTGATGGAGTGGAGAAGAAACAATACATCTCAAGCTCTAACAAAATTGGAATTCGCACCGATTTTAGAAAAAGCCATTAATAGTTCTATTCATCCGGAAATATTGCAAAATGGTTTTAGGGCTGCTGGACTTTTCCCGTTGAATCCTGATAGTATAAACTTTGACAAATGTCTTGGTAAACGAGTAAAAAGCATAAGCAATAATAAAGACGTAGTGTTACAAAAAAGTCGATTCCTCGATATGATTAAAGAATGTAAGTATGAAAAAGACAAAATTTTGAAACAAGTTTTTGATTTTTTTTGAAGTTTCACCATCCCTTCTTAAGTTTACTACATCTGAGACTCCCAATAACAAAACTACTGCATGCATATCAAAAGGTGTTACATCCATTGAATCTGAAGACAACTTTTTTGAGGAACCAAATACCAATTTCGATATTGCTAATCTTCCTGTAATTTTATGTGATTCTGTGGAAGATTGGAATGATTCACAAGAAAGACTATCTTGCTTTGAAGTTTCACATGAAGTAGAAATTCATACTCCATCTGTTATTTCAAATACATTTTTACAACCTACCCCTAATAGACAAGAAGTCTCACATTATAACAATGAAGATTTATTAGAAAATATCGATGTTTTTACAGATTGCTCAGTACAAAATATTACTACACTTGCAAATTCTCCACCAAAGATCATGCCAACTAATTTAAGTGACAAAATAATAAGATCAATGAAAAAAATTAATCTAAAGGACACTTTAGTTTTAGCCAAAACTCCGGTCAGGAAAGGGGTGAGAAACACAGAACGAGTTTCGTTTGTATTGACATCTGAGGAATGGCAAATAAAAGAGAAGTCAAAGGCTGATGAGAAACAAAAAAAGGCGGAAGAAATAAAAAAAAGAAAAGAAGAGAGAATATTGAAAAAAGAACAAATTAAGAAAACTAAAAACTTTTTAACCAAAAAAATGACAGAGACAAAAAAGAAAAGAGAAGCCAAAGTGATTGTGATATCCGACGACATTATTTCACAAAATAAAATTTCAGATAGATTAGAAACTTTTAATAACACAGAAGCAAATAGTGAAGAACCAAAGGCAATAATGATGGATATCAATCATGAGCAACATATATTTTCTACAGAATATAAGGCTGAAGAGATTGCAAAAGTAAAAACAAAACTTAATTTTGATGATAACAAAAGAAGGAGTGCCTCTAACAAACTGTTACAAACACCTATGAAGACTATGTGTACCAATATAAGATTGAATATACTCGTAGATTCTAAGGACACTGGTAATAAGATTCGAGACCAAGATACTTTGTGTTTAAAAGAACGATTTGCAAAAGAATTTAATGTTAAATCAAAATTAGATAAGAAGACACTGCAGGATAAAGATATCGAAAATTTACTTGAAGAAAATTCTCAGTAGGTACTAACTTGTTAAAGTTATTAGAGAAGTTATGATCTCAGTTTAATAAATACGTAAATAACCATCGTAAAAAGTACATTTATATCGTAAACATTATTGTTAAAATGACTTTAAATGAAACTTGTACCTTATGTTGATTAGTTGATACTTTCATAGTGATAAAGAAGAGAAGTTTATTACTTATTTTTGATGCAACTGTTTTTTTTTGTGATTTCTTAAGTACTGATTATTGCAATGTTGATTAATTGATACCTTTATAGTGATTAACAGGAGAAAATGTTATTTTTGGGGTAACTGTTTATTTTTTAAGAATTCTATTACATATTTTTAAATTACAGAGTACTATTTATTTACTATTTTTCCAATAAATTTGTTAAAATTAGCGTTCAACAGGCATGAGAACCAGGGTGTCAATATTTAGACAGTTCAGTGTCATTAATAGGAAAATGTATGTCAATAATAGGAAGTTAGAGATAACTTCAGATAAACGAACTTTTTTCATAAATAGTAATTATAATTTGCACAATATCGCCAACTTTTAAAAGAATGATAATGACAGAATACTTAATATCTACGAACAAATTACAAAAATAGTGCTTGTTTAACTATTTTTTTGCTAAACGTTTTGTGACGAACGTCTTAAAGTGTCCATAATTGGGTAGTTTACGTACAAACAATAAAAATAAATTCAAGGATTCAAAAAAACTGCTATCCCTGTTTTGTCAGCTAAACCACTTAGGAATCCTAATCTTCTGGGACACATGAAATATAACTTTATTAAAATCATTGAATCGCTGACAAAATCAACTTTATTAAATCATCATAACTTTTATCCCCTACTGAATAGCTATGTGCACTTTTCTAATTCTTAATATAGAAGATCTGTACTTTCAAATGACATATATTTCATGTCTGTACTGTCTGGGGCACAGGCTGTTTATACTTCACAACCCACTCGTTTTGGTTTTCTTTTGTTTTCATAACTGCTGGCATCGCGTCTTTGAAGTACGCACCTCTTCCATACCAGGCGAACATGGATTCATCTACAGTTATTTTTGCACCAGGACGGATGGTATCTTTTAGTTTATCATTCACCATCATTACTAGTGTTCTGGTGTTACGCCATTTGTCAGAATCATCAAGGTCTGACGGTTGTGTGAAGCGCAGGGCCACTATAATGATCTCAAACCTTTGACGACTAATTCCAAATCTTTGTCCAAAATTTGCTGGGGGAAATATTCCATCGGAGGTCGTATTCCAGTAGGATCTTCGATCTGGCAGTTCTTGAAGAGTCATAGCATATAATTTACCAAAAAAAAAATTATAATTCCTTCTCGTTCAACAGTTTCTGTCTAGGGGGAACCGAAGAGTTGGTACACTGGACTATGTAACTAAGTTTCTCTCTGGGAAATACCATAAAAATGCATCCTTGACATTTCGTGCAGGCTCCATAGGTACTAGCAGGGTAGCTTTGAAATAGCCTTGTTGCTGATCAACACGTATTGCTTCATGAAAAGTCCAGGTGACTCCCTTCACAACGGTTGTATTTCCAGCAGAAGAATTTGTTCCGCTGCTCATACGCGGAGTCGGATGCACTGAAACAGTTGTCTCGTGATCTTCACTCGAAGTTGAAGAGCCCGATTCAGATGACGCTGAAAAAAAAGCTCTATTAGTCCTAGCAATAGAAGCAAAGGGGTGCACGGTGCACTCAATACATTTGAAATTAAAATTATTTTTTTAATTACACACACATAATACAAATACAGCCACACTCACATGTATATACACATACAAACTCACCCACACAAACACGAAAAAAAACACTTACATATACATATTGAAAACAGCCACTATAACGAGTAATATGGGCGCTTTCAAGATCAGACTATAGGTATAAACTTAGCTAACTAAGTTCTCGACTGTACATTTGAGGAAATTTTGTGGTGAACCAAAAATTTTAAATCCAAAAAAATGTCAACCCATGCAAATCATGGTAACGAACAGGCGACCGACCTACTATTTTTTTATTGTAACGTAAGGCAATGAATAAAATAATAATTGGTAGGTACTTACAATTTTCTTCATTGGTATTTGCTTCCAATAAATTATCGTTTTCGATATCAGCAATCAGAACTCCAACGGGCACCAATGAAATTTTCTTGTTAATTTCCCAATATACCCTAGCATAGTTGTTTTCTACCTTTCTTACAGTACCCCAACAATAACTTATATCGTAGTTATCACCAAAATGTTTGCGACTCCAGGTGTTGTGGCCATCATTTACGTCGAAATGTGTAGCTTTGACTCGAACGCGGACACCATGTGTTATACTCGCCGCCATTCAGGCCATACTGATCGAAGAAACACGATTCAAAAACTCGCTGAATCAGAAAGAGACACACTATGCATGTTAGTAAATTGCGTCCTGCTCGCAGGCCTAGAAAGCCTCATATAACCAAAAACATTGCGTCCTACCGGTAACCGGTAGTACGAAAAGTCCTGCTGGCAGGACTCTGGACGTTCTATCATTAAGCTACTATTTTACGCTGGTATTCTGTTAGAGCGTGGTCCTTACTCGGTCGAGCCGACCCATTTGTGCTACAATATAACTGCAGCATGGCTCTACCACGTAACTATTACGTTAGATATATTTAGTATAGATATATTATACGTATAAATATATTTCGATACAGGTTTTAATATAAGAATTGAGCTAGCAGGGATTTTTTTAAATAATTATTTAAACGTAGAAATTATAATACCTTTCATTTCTTTAAATTGTAATATTTATGGTAAACATATAAATAATGCATAGTTATATTTCGATATTGGTTTTAAAATGACACTGGAGTAGCAAAAATATTATTAAACCATATATTAAGAAGGCAAAAATTAACAGATCTATACAAAAGTACAAAGTAGAATTCTTTTATAATAATTATTATTTGGAATTTTGTAATTCAAGTAGTTAGTTAGTACCAGTTCTGGCTCACTGAGTTAGAAGTGGTACAACGTTCGTCGAGACTCACGATCCTAAAAAAAAAAAGGTTTTGGCATGCTCTGATCACGAATCTGCGGTCCGTTTTTGCGTAGGATGCAGGGTTACGGAGATGTGCAGATCAATTAACTCTTATCTAATTGATATCCGGTGAGGGCCTCCACAGTCATTAGCACATTATTGTTCTTATCTATTTATCTATTCTTCATTGAATACCGTCATTATCTATTCTTCTTCGACGTGTGCATCGGATTATCAGTCCTATTATATTATACTCCTTTGTTCCTAACTGCAACGCTAATCTGAATCATCAATAAAATACATTACCTAATTTTGTTACAATTTTTATTTACGAAATACAAAATCTTATTACTTATTATCTATAAATTAAATCTAAAAATAAATAATAAAAATATCGTTGTACAATGTGTTCCCTGTAAATATACTCGTAAAACTATGCATCGAACATCCCTGAAACTTATATAGCAAATACATTAAGCAATATTCGCCACAAACTGAAGTCCACTCATTCTGAATCCTATCAACATTCCAGTTCCATCTTTTACAATTCCTTTTTAAAAACTATAGATGATATCGTACAGGTGCTCGTCCGTATGAATCAAAATATTGACCGACGTCATTCGTATCGATATATAAAGCTACCCAATGTGACCCTGGTTTATCATCTGTATCCATGGGTGTACATTGGCAGTCTATTAGCAGCATAAACATTATTTTCTAGACTGGGGTGAATCTTTTTCAGATGTTGTTGTACATCTAGTGTATCCATGATATTACTGCTGTTAGTAGATTATTACAGTACAATCTACTCAATGACTAACATAGGAATGATCAATTATAGTGATTTCTAAATATTAAATTGCATTATTTTGTGTTATACAAAACGTATTTGAGTCATCAATACACTGAACAAGACGCAACACGAAGTAATGCTGAGATAAGCAACAGGATGTGAGATAAGCTTGTTGACGCATAAAGTTACTATCAATTTCACTGCAGAAATTCTTTAGATTAGAATTATTACTTATTGGTACTATATAATACCAAGCAACTGCAGTCATGGAGTTAGTGTATGGTCGTTTGACCGCAGTGGATCTATCAATACTACATTTGTGTTACTTCAACGCATCAAAGGCCATGGATGTAAGTGTTTATTCTATTGACAAAGTTACTTTTCTTTCTGTTATTTTCTTACGTGTGTATGATTTAGTGTTAACAAATTATATTTAAATATTGTGGTTGTATATGATTAAGCCGTGGTAGCTCAGATGGTTAGCGCAAGCTGTAAATTTCTCAGTACGCGAACCGGGTTCGATCCTCGTCGGCACCAATTAAATTGTTAATTGTAATTTTAAGTGTTTATTCTATTGACAAAGTTACTTTTCATTCTGTTATTTTCTTACGTGTGTATGATTTAGTGTTAACAAATTATATTTAAATATTGTGTGTGTACCACATCTACGAATACTAGAGTAGTTAAAAATACTTTTTAACAATGACAGTCATTAGTTGATCGTTAGTGAATGTGATTCTGTTTACTTAAATTACAGGAAGACAAGAGCAGAAGGAAGAAATGGGATGATGGGAAGTAATGAAGCATTGTTATGTGAAGTTTGTTAGAACAAACATATTTTTAGTCACGTGTAAATACTTTTAACATTTTGGTTCAAAATGACACAAAATCTAAAAAATATTAGATACATCATCGACATGGAAGGATTTTACATTACATATCCTCATAAACATTTTCAATGTAGAGAAATGGTTATTCTAGACGTAAAACTATCTAATAAAAATGATGCGTTTATTGATCATTATTTGTTTCGGCCAAGTTATCCTTTCAATTATTTGTCGCCAAAAGACAAAAAAACTGTTCGTTATTGTGAAACACACGTGCACGGCATTCCATATTTTGATGTGACCGAAGAATTAAAATGTGCCTACAAACAATAGAACATCATCCCCATATTAAATTGGTATATTAGAAATTTGTGCAAAGACGAAGTGATCGCATAAAAAGGTGGTTCAACAGAAAAACAATTTTTAAAAATATTGACGACGAATAATAGAATTTTTAATATTGAAGAATACAAATGTCCAAAATACAATGATTTGGTAAATATTATAAATTTAAACAAACGTTATGTGTGTAATAATCATATATTTGCAAAAATTTTACATTGTTCTTGTGACGAAGTGTGGGTTTTTTACAAGTGGTTATTGCTTGAAAATAAATTTTTCAATTAATCATAAATTTTGTTTGATTTCCCAAAAACATTAGTTATAGTACACAATATATATTAATTGTTTACACCAACACTTTCATTTTTTATTTCACTCCTTAGAACTTTAGACGTGTGTAATGTTTCACTTTATACATCCGTTTACTGCTATTGTGGCAGGACCAAGTGGATGTGGGAAGTCAAATTTTGTAACAAATTTCATAAAATCAGTTACAGAAATATGTAATTGTGATTTTAATCAGATCACATGGTGCTTTGATGAAATGCAACCTTTATATAATTTACCAAATGTTAACTATCATCAAGGAATTCCAAATCTTAATATGTTTGATGGTGAAAATCCACATCTCGTTATTATTGATGATCTAATGAGAGATTCCGATGTAAAATTTAAACTCGAACAGTGTTTTGTATTAGATTAAATAGAAGATTTATAAAGAAATAAAAAATAATATATTGCATACAATTTGTTTTATTTCATTTTATAACGTTTCACATAGATACACACAAAATGCATTACACATAACTCAAAAAATCTAACACAAAACACATATTATAACCTTAACTACTATAGTCTACAGTAACATTTCTGTTTTTATCTATCTCAATAATATTATCAAACTCAGCATAAACTATACAGTTAATTGTTTGTATTCAAATCGTACTTCTAATCTTACACTACCATGCTTTATGAGATTCCAATGAGCTGATGAGTTGGCTGATAAATCAGGAGTTAAGTCAAATGCTAATAGACAGTAACCTTTGGCATACTGTTCACAAGAGATTCCATTTCCTTCATTAAGAAAGTGAATACCAGTTCCCGAGAATAGAGTATGATATGCTGATGTAAATACACTATTATTAAAAGATGGTTGCAAAGCTTTTGAAGGTATTTGTTGACCATCAATATATAAGCTGAAAGAATTAATACCATAGTTTTCAAAGTTAAATGGATTTTTAGTAAGGGAACCATTAAATGCAGAATTGTTCACAAATCCAATTATACATCTTTTGGTTAGAACTTAGAACTTTAG